TCTTTGGACATGTGCTCTTCCCTGCTGCTGTTCTAAATGTGGTGTTTTATGGAACCTGACTTGCTATATTTTAGACATCTATCATAAACATTGGCTTACCCATTATTTTCTGACTGCTCACAGATTGATTATTTCCACCTCAGTCTGGACTGGTAAGGTACCAGGAGACGAGGGCGCGGCGTGGGCCGTAGTTCTCCAGGTGGAAGCTTGATTGAAGCTGATATAATAATTATTCATTACCTCATTTGTATACTACCTTATACAATACCTGACAGTCTATTGGTCTTCGGCTCATCCTCCGGGTTTGCCGCATGGGGAGGAGACTGAACAGTGAGCCTACCAGTTTCTCTTGATTCTCTAGATAGAGGTTGCTTTGTTGTAATGACCAGAGACATTGACACCATCTGTTCATGTCTCAACAAATTTATTAACCAAAATGTAGGATAAATGTGGAGTTCTCCTACAAGCAACCTGCTGCTGATGATGTAACAATTTCTTCAAAAACTGCAGGGTAAATTTACTTGACAACAGGAATTCTTATCACAATCTCACGGTCTCACCCACCTGAGATTTTCTAGGAATTGCTGAAGATCTAGTTTCATTATCTGCAATGGAGCCAAAGATTCATTATTTTTTGGCTTGAGAATATAATGGAATAAAGCAAAATGACTCACTAAACTGTCTGCGCTTCTTTGTTATAAAGCAGCAGTCAGCCCATGCAATTTTGGACGCGATTTTCACTATGGGTCATCCGGAAACAGTCTCTCTGTGCTTTAGTACAGGGGTAAGACTGCGTACATCCGACCCCCCCTTACCCCACCGTAGGTGGGAGCCTGTGCGGCACTGGGGTAAATGAAAAATGAAAAATGAAAAAGCTGAAGATCCAGTTTCACCTGAGATTATAGTGATCATTTTGTCCTTTTAACACCATTATTTGCCCAAATCATGACTTTATTGGTTAGGGATTTAGGGAGTGTTTGCAATTGCTTCAACTTTAAAAAAGTGATTTTTTAAAGTGATTTTGGGAAAAGTGATTAATAGTAAAAGTTGGTAGTTTTGAGAAAAAAGTGATTCTGAAAAAGTAAAAGTTGGTAGCGTTTGGTAAAATAAGTACTTTTTGTGTAATAGAAAAAGTGAGAAGCAGTTTAAAGCACCATTCTACCTGCTTCCAGCTTTTAACTTTTAAGTGATTAATTTAAGCAGAAGCTGTCATATGAAAACACTCTTTTCAACTTTTTTTAAGCCAAAAGCTGAAAAGTTCTTTTTTTAAGCAACCCCAAACACTCCCTTAGTAAGATGTACTGAAACTTGACACACCTTACCGTTACACCTAGCCGATTTGGAAGCTCTGTAACGGGCCATGAATTTAGAAGCCTCAAATTTCCGTTGTTTGTCCTTTTTGTCGTTAAAAAAGTTGGGAATTAGTTTTTTTTTGAAACCAAAAGACCAGAAAGTCTTTTGGGGTAGGACCGCAGGGGCCAGGAAACACCCTACCAATTTATTAAAAGTAATGAAAATATAAAAAGAATGTCATTTTTATGAATGATTCTATATATGGATACACAATTTGAAACCCTATACGGCTATCGTTAAATATATCGTACACCCGGTTGTACGGTCCCATACGGTCCTTGCTTTTTTGATTTCGTGCTACTAATCTATTACATGTTTTTCTCTTTTGTCTTGTTGGTTCTTCTTTTATTGCTTTTACTTGTTTCCTTCTTTCTCTCCAGTCTAGTCCATTATCGAGAAAGAAAGTTTAAAAAAAAAGGAAAGAAAAGAGGGGCAAAATTGTCTTTTGTGATCTGTTGAATTTTACGACTATCGTGTCCGTAGGTCGCCCGCGCAGGGGGTGCGAATTTTCGGTTCTGAACTAGAAGCCGGAATTCTTGTGTGCGCGAGAGCTCCCCTATTCTCCTTCACTTTTTAATATTAAGTGATGAGTGGTTCATATTTATAGGCTTCAAACTTTCCAAGGAGTTTAGGTGTGGGAAAGTTAAAGAAGCCCACTTTCCACCTTTGCTTGAAAGTGTACACTTTTCCATCTATCTTTTTCAAGAGCTAGTTTTGAGGCACTTCAAACTTCAAGCTTCAAAACTCCAACACCAAAGGTCAACACTACAATCAAACTTCATGTCCGGTACGTCCGTAGAAACAAAAACGAACCAAACCTATCTGCTACGTTAGATTTAAATGAATAATAGTATAAGGCCCAGATTAAATTTAAAAAAGAACCGCCTTCGTTTTTCCGTCTCTGTACTTTACCGCCTTTCCGTCATTAGTGACACTCTATTATTGCCATTTAAAGATGAGTCCGTATGTAATCAATTAGAAAGGCCTTATTAGTAACTCTACAATTCATTACCATGTATATTACTCTATATATTTAGCACGTTCCTGCCATTACGCAACCACAACTTTTAAATCCATTAATGTTGATGTTATTTTTATATGGCGTGTCCCCACCATTAATAAACATATAATATGATTATTCACTTTTGTTTCAATTTTTTTATTCATACAAAGTATAAGTGCATCGTTTTTATATAAAATGCAGTATACTCGCATTGAGAGTGCAATTTTTTATTTGGAGAAGTGCACTTTTTAAGCAAAATAGAATAATAGAACAATGAAAAAAATTGCTACCTCTAACAGAGTAATGGAAATAAAATTGGGTAAATAAAATGTATAACTTGAATCCTTAAAGTACATTGAGTCTAACAATTTTGTGCACTAGTTAATGACTTTGTGCACTAACTTGAACGTAAAGGTGCATTAAAATATTAAGTATGCATTAGTGTCAACTGAGCGGATTCACTAGAGGAAAAGTTAGAAACGTGTATGGAAAGAAATACAAATGACCTTAAAGACCCTGATCGAAATAATTAGAAAAGTAAATATAAAGAAATAATTACATAAATATGATCAAAATAAAGATAATTTACAAAAATATGACTCATTACTAGAGTAGTAATGAAATCATAGTAATTCATAAAATTCATTTTACTACAAGTTTTGAGCACAATAACTTAAGCCTATAAGAAATGAGTTTTATGTTAAATTTGAAAGAGGTGACTAAAATATTATCACAACTTTTTGTAAAATGCACGTAATATGCTTTTAATTAGATCGTAGTATGTTTCTAATGTACGTAATATGTTTTTAATTTCTAGTCTGGTTTGGAAAATGTATGTTTTTGTCTGATCTAATCTGATCTGATATAATATGGTCTGGTACGATCGGAGCTGGTTTGCAAATAAAATCAATCAAGTAAATACATCTTCAATAACGTTTATAAATTCCAAGAAAATATGACTATTGTGTTTTATTTTAAACATAACAATATTATCTAATTTTGACAGTAATTAATCTTATTTAGAAAAGAAATATTCTCTCCGTCTCTCTATAATTGTCCCATTTTCATTCTTGGATGTTCCCCTATTATTGTCTCATATTATATTTGGTAACATTTGTGTGACTCTAATTCATTCATACTTTAATCTCACTTTATCAACTTATTATCAACCACATTACTCTCTTCCGTCCCAATATTAGGGAGGCGGAGGGAGTATATCAGTATATGACAATTTTGTTTTATAATTTCATAATAATGTTATTCATATTTCGTGAATTTTACCAATTTATAATGGTGGAATATAATTTCACTTTTGGTATTACGAATTTTATGTCAATTTCTGATTTAATCTACAATTTATTCTTTATCCACTTTTAGTATTTGACTATTGTTTTATTGACCATTTTCGATATATCTCCACCGATTTTAACCATTGGATAATGATGGTGTATGAGTGAAAACCAATAATTATGTACCAAAGTTGATTAAAATTAAAAATGTAAACCAATAGATCGTGTAATTTGGAATTGCATTGACTCAAGGGGATAATAAAGCGGATTGAGTTAAGAGGAAATTGCTTCCGGTAGGAGTAAAAAGATAAAAAGTTTACAAAAATAGAACTCATTTATGTTTTTTCCATGCGTGTGACTTATGTGGTCCTGTTTTAGAAAATAGAAATTAAAAATAGAAATCATATTTTCACTTCCCATTTTTACCCTTAACTTGAGTAACCCATCTCAAGAAGAAAAAATACAGAGCGACTTCCGATCCCAAGATTTCCCCAACTCTCGTTTCCGTCACTCCCGCTTCACTGGTACTAAAATCGATCTGGAAGCTTGAAATCGATCGACATGGCCTCACCAACCTCGTTTTGGCCGGATACATCGGCTAAATTCTGGCGGATCTTGGCTCTGGAGTCTACGGCTCCACCATTAATGGCCTTCGACGATTTTACAGAGGGCTAGATTACCTATTTTGCTTCTTTGCGGAGTTTTTAACAACCACTCGATGTAATTTCATCATTAGATATTGTGAATTGTATATATATTGTTTTATGTGACCTGCTCTGCTATTGAACTATTATCAGAACTTATTATCTGTTTAATGACTACTTATTGTCTATGTATTGCCTGATATTGAACTTTTATTAGAACTTATTGTCTGTTTACTGACTACTTAATGTCTGTGTATTGTCTAGTGTTTGCAAGTTTGATTTTGGATCTGGTTTCTTCAAACGTTTTGCAGAGTACCTGGTGGCCTTTGTGAAAATATGAAATAGAAGTTCAAAATTGGCAAAATCAATGTCCAAAATCAGAAAAGAAGAAGAAGATGAGGAAGAAGAAGAAACCTTTGGCGGTGGCGTCCGATGAAGTCAGCGGCGGCCAGTGCGTCGGCGACGGTGATTTCGACACCATGAAATCAGCAGCGGTGGTAATTCGATCGATCTGAATCGATGAAGTTGTTTGAAACGAAGGTCAGGGGATGCGCAAGGGTGTCGATCGGTGAAGTTGTTTGATGCACAACAGATTTTTAAACGAAAGACAAGTTCTAAAAAAGAAGGGTAATTTGGTCAAAGCATGTGTATTAAGTCTTACCCTAATCTATAGTCTTAATTTTAGAAAATTAGTGTGATTAGGTTCTACTTGTTCAAATTAAATCTCCTTTAGAGTTAAGGGGATAGTACGTACGGGTTGTTAGGGCAGTGCGCAACTGCCGGCGGAAGGACTCCAGGATACGAAAAAATAGTCGATTCTTGCCGTCTGGGACTGTATTTGCATAAGTATTATATATACCGATCGGCTTCTACCGTGCTACCATTCTACCAACGCTTAAACCCAAGGTATACTTATTTATTATCAGAAGAAAGAAGAAACAAAGAATATGGAGGATGAAGATTTCAATAAACCGTGTTTTGTAGTCAGGCCGCACGACGGCACCACAAACTGCTTTGTCCCCAGTTCCCATATTCATGCCCGTTTCTCCTGGAAAGATCAGATCTCGACCATCACTTTGCCGGCCGATTTACTATCGGAGTCTCAGGAGTCCCAGCGTCGATTCGTCCGCAATTCCCGGGATCTGCGTAAATGGCAGATTGACGATGATGTCATGAATGCTGTTGCCGACAAATTGATTGACAAAATGCGCTGTTACGAATTGCAGTGTAATCTCCTGGTAGACATTATTCCTCCAGCGGAGGACGATCCTGAGGCGAGGGCGGCGGCCGCGGTGGCCTCCAAGAAGCTTCTCAGGAAATTCAGTATGCTCATGTTATTAGACGTTATTATTATTGCAATTAGTGGTGTTTTTTTGTTGTTTTGGAAGCGGGAAATTTGAACTTTTAATGTTTTTATCGGATTTATGCTATAGGGCATGTTTGGCACAACTAGCTGAAAAGATACTTTTGTGAGCTTTATAATAGCTGTTAGCTTTCAGGAAATTCAGTATGCTCATGTTATTAGACGTTATTATTATTGCAATTAGTGGTGGTAGCTGTTTGATGAAAAGCTGACTGTTTGATTTAGTTCGGTTTGGTATACAAGCTGTTAGGATTAATTAATACTTAAAGTCACTAGCTTTTCTTAGATGCTACTCCCGATAGCATCTCAAAAAAATCTTTTAATTTTTGAAAAGCTTTTAAATATTGTCATGCCAAACATAGCCATAGGCTTGACGGTTTACACATGAATACGCAAATAAGAAATTTTATACTACCTTATTTGTATACTGCCTTATAGAATACCAGGCTTTCTATTATATTGGTCTTCTGCCCATGGGGAGGAGACTGAACAGTGAGGATTATACTCCGTATTTGTTACTTTGTTGTAATGCCCAGAGACATAGACACCATCTTTTCATGTCTCAACAAATTTATTAACCAAAATGTAGGATAAATATGGTATTCTCTTACAAGCAACCTGCTGATGATGATGTAAATTTTCTTCAAAAACTGCAGGGTAAATTTTACTTGACAACAAAAATTCTTATATTAATCTCACGGTTTCACCCACTTGAGATTTTCTAGGAATTGCTGAAGATTCAGTTTCACCTGAGATTATAGTGATCCTTTTGTCCTTTTAATACCATTATTTGCCCAAATTATGACTTTATTGGTTAGGGGTTAACAAAAATTGCGTTTTTCTTATTGGAAACTCTGTATTGGGTCATAAATTTAGAAGTCTCTTATTTCTTATTTGTCCTTTTTGTTTGTCCTTTTTGCCGTTAAAAAAGTTGGGAATTAGCTTCCACTTGTTAAGAGTGTACAGAAAGTTTGGAATCCTTGGATACATCTTTAAAGTATAAAAAAGAATGATCAAATTGTTGTTTCTAGACTTTCAAGAACAGATAAAAAGTGGATTAACAGATGACATTTTATAAAGGAATTTTATAAACGTTTTTAAAATGTTTTTACTCGATTGATTTCAGACACAAACTAGGTCAGAAATAATAAGACCAAACCAAATCAGATTATATCAGATGAAAACATACATCTACCAGACTAAACTAGAAAATTACAATCTGTTTAAAACATCTTACGTGCATTAAACTAAAAAATGTAATACTCCGTAATATTTAGTCACCGTGATTTTTTATTTGTATAGTTACATAAATAGAATTCCACTTGCATAAAATAAAAATAAAACTATGATAAAAATATATTATTCTACGGACTATAAAATAAGATATTGGATTGATCAAGATGTTGGGGTGTGGAAGGTGAAATTTCAAGAAGTTTGGAGTATTTGTCCGTTATTCTATTTTTTATGGTCTTATTTTCATGTCATGTTTGTTGAAGTCTTTAGGTTTGGGTCTACAATAATGATTGTCAATTCTGCTATATTTTATGCCATTAGAAGGATCTATATAGTCAGTGATTGCTGTGTCACACCCGCTTGGTGGTTAGCGATTCGTATTGCTCTTTCGGGGGTGATCGTCTCAGAGTCTAGCCATAGGGTTGATTGCGATAGTTGATTAGGGATATGTTTAAACAAGAAATAATTTATCCTAAAACGGAGTAAAAAATGGGAATCAAGCAATATAGAATCAACTATGGAAGAATTGGTAAAGAAATGAATTTGATATATGATGATCAAGAAGAAGGATCTTCACAATATGCTTTTGAATTACAATGTAGAGACTGAATGTATGTGTATTCGTAACTCAATGTCCTGATTACATAGAGCCTCTAGATATTTATAAGAGATACATTTAATGCACTTTTGTCCGTTGACGACATGATCCGACCGTTACGACGACATGTCCGACCGTTACGACGACATCAATATCGTCATTATTGCATCATCAATTCTGGCCAGCCCTTTGAGTAACCTATGTCATAATTACAATAACTACTCTAATTATATACATAAAACTGCCCAGATTTAATTAGCTAGCATTAATCCCAATGAATGCGTCATTGATTGCCACGGTCAACCATTTTTGAATGTAGTCAAGGCTATCAAATCCGTGTACCAACAATTGCCCCCTTTTCGAGAAGTTGGGGCGAATGATGCACACGTCCGTTGACTTGTTTCAGCAACAACTTGTCGAAAATTTGAAAGTACACTTCACATCTTGGTCCGTTGCATCGTCACATATTGATCAACTTGTCTAACTTAAATGCTTTCCCTCCAGCATTGTGTTGACGGTTAGATGACAGAAATTTGTAACAGCATTACGTCGATGTCGACACCTCAGCTGGCAAAGGGAACATCATCCGTCGTTAAAGATGGCGAGTTGTGTTGCGTGAACATAGTCCATAACCTGCAAAAACTTTGAATAACGTTTCATTTGTAATTTTATCAATATTGTCAACATGTGTTTATGATTTGTATCCATGTCGTTCGTAGTGTCTCCTTATTGGAGCTAATGTTGTCACACTTCTGTTGCGTATTTTTGTAGTTTTGGATGTGGTTGTTGTTCCACATGACGATGTCATTTGTATGTGTACTGTTGTTGCTTTGTGTTTGTCTGACTTTGATGTTGTCAGCATTTGTGATGTATGATCTGTCTGTTGTTTTGGCCAAAACATTGTGGAGAATCGGTGGTGTTTATACTCATGTTTAGCGTACATGAAAACCCCACTTCTTCCCCTAAAATTCTGTAAGCCCCCCGTCAATTGTGTCTTGACGTGTTGTAAGGCTTTGTATGTTAGGATTCCGTCATCGTCAATTCTTGACTGTACCTGTGCAATAAATATTTCGCTAACGTCGGCCGTTGGCTAAAAGCCAACGGCCCTCCGATGCTTAAGACAGTAATTGTGAATAGGTATGTATAAAAAATTAGTCCTCAACATTGCGAAACTACTTAGTCAAATTCACGTCATTTCAACTTAATGTTTCAAAAGTAATTTTGCACTTGTCAAAGTGAATAAATGAAGAAAATATTAAAGTGAGGGGTGAGTAAATTGCTGTTGCATACCCTGATAGTGTCCTGATCCTTTGCTTCTTTATTTACTTTCCTGTTCTGATTAGGCGATCTCGGTCGACTTGAAGTTAAATGATGTCGTCGTCTAACTTTCAGTTTGATGTCTTCATTCATCACTCAGTTTCATGTTGTCTATCAGTAAATGGTTTGACGCCTTTAGTCTGCAACCTAATCAGACACGTAGCTGGGGCCTGGCCGTTGGTTTGAAGCCAACGGCCCTCCGATGCTAAAGTAAAATAGTCTAATACTTTTACATTGATTGTAGGTGTGTATTATCTCTAAGGAGTCAGATGTATTTTCATTTGTCAAGGCGGGTGAGTAGATTAAGATGACATTGAAATAAAATAAGAGCAATCTATTGTCGAGTACCTTAATTCAGCTGACTTAATGTCGTCATCAGAAGTCTATATGATATTGTCATATAGGATTTAGCTTGATGTTGTCAATCTGTGACTCAGTCAAATACTTTGTTGGCCGTTGGCTTGAGGCCAACAGCCCTCCGACGGTCAAGTTAGTAAGAGATTCAAAAAGTATAAGATTAATACTTAAGTAGATAGTTATATTAGAAGTGGAAAGGCTTTAGGTGTACCGCATTCCAGCTCCTTAGAACTTGTTTACCGTCAACGCTTGTCAGACGGTATGCCCCCTGCCCGACGACATCTGTAATCTGGTATGGGCCTTCCCAGTTGGGACTGAATTTTCCACTTGCTTCGTTGCCAAAGGACTTTCTGAGTACCCAATCGCCTTTCTTGAATACTTTGGCTCGGACATCTTTGTTATAGCTTCTTGCTACCCTTTGTTGGTAGGCTGCCATTTGTACTTTAGCTCTTTCTCTCAATTCGTCGATAGTGTCAAGGTCGTGAACCAATTCTGTGTTGTTTGCTTCTTCTGTGATAAGTCCGTACCTGGATGTTGGCACTTCGACTTCGACTGGAATGACAGCTTCGCATCCGTACACCAACGAAAAAGGCGTTTGTCCTGTGGCGTTTTTTGGTGTTGTCCGGTCTGCCCATAATATGAGTGGTAACTCGTCAGCCCACTTTCCTTGTGCTTTCTCCAACCGCTTCTTTAGATTTGAGATGATGATCTTGTTGCTTGACTCAGCTTGTCCATTTGATTGTGGATAGCGTGGTGTCGACATCTCTAGTTTGATGTTGTACTTCTCACAGAATCGTCTGGTTTTGATGCTGATGAACTGTGACCCATTGTCGCAGACGATCTCTGACGGGATGCCAAACCTGCTCAAAATATTTATTTTGATAAAAGATATTACCTGAGTGTCACGGATTTGTCGGAAAGGTTCAGCTTCAATCCACTTTGAGAAGTAGTCAGTCATTGCCAACATGTAGACCTTTTGTCCGGGTGCTTCGGGCAGCTTACCTACAATGTCCATCCCCCACTTCATGAAGGGCCATGGAGATAAGACAGGATGTAGTGCTTCTGCATGTTGGTGTTGCACTGGTGCATGCTTTTGGCACGGTTGACAAGCTTGAGTGTATGCAATGGCGTCATGTCTCATCGTTGGCCAATAATAGCCAAATCTCAAGGCTTTGTTTGATAAACTCCTTCCTGCCGCGTGGTTGCCACATTCTCCTTCATGGAGACTTCTCAGTACTTTGACAGCTTCGTGTGGGGCTAAACATCTCTGATATGGTCCTGCCTTCGAACGTTTAAACAAAACATCATCAATTAATAAAAACTTGTTACCTTTGACAGGAGTGCCCTTGCTTCTCTTTTGTCACTTGGCAAGATGTTGTGTTTTAGGTAATCTATGTATGGCTGCATCCAGTTGTTGTCTGCGGTTGACTCAATGATGTTGACCACTTCCGTCCTTTCAATGGCTGGTTCTATCACGTGGACAAGTGGTATGTTATCAATGTTTCCTGCCCCCAGACATGATCCGATTGCTGCTAAGGCGTCGGCTTGGACGTTTTCTTCTCTTGGGATTTGCTCAAAGGTGATGTCGTCAAAGGTGTTAGCTAAGTTGGTGACGATTTGTAGGTACGCCGACATCTTTGGATCTTTAGCTGCATAAACTCCGTTGGCTTGATTAATAATTAAAAGGGAGTCGCATTTTACC